TTCTCAAGTATTTCAGGCTGTATGACTCAGTCACGGGCGTGTCGAAATTTGTCGTAGATCGAATAAGTCAAGCGTCTGCCGATCAACGAGCTGGAAGAGCGGGTCGCATAGCAGCTGGCCATGCGCTTACAGGTATTTGATTGTAACGAAAAGGCGAAATGAGGAAACTGATCTGATGAGATATAATCGCTCTTATATTATGAATGTACCGCGTACGAATCAACACAAGCTCTGTACTAACTATTCGCGGATGTTATGATGATCACCAGTAATCCCAAAATGTAGTCGAGAATATCAATACTAAACATGTAAGCTCAGTATGTATTCTTTGAGGCTCTATTCTTCGGCGGTTTTCCAAACCTTCGAGAAGTTCTCTCGTCCAGAAATCCTCGATAAACCCGCGGATCAACTTGTGTTGCATTTGAAATCGATGAACATTGTTAAGGTGATTGCGAATTCTTCTCAAGCTCGGTCTACAAACACTCGTTGTTTTTGCACTTATAAAAAATAGAACAACGTATAGCAGTGACAATATCTTTTTTAACCTCTATTCAGGTGATAAATTTCCCGTTTCCATCACCACCGGACTCGGAAACGCTGGAGGTGGCTGAAGAAAGGCTTATCAAACTTGGCGCTTTGGCGAAGACCACGAAAGACGGGAAGGTGTGTACATTCTGTCATTTACATAGAGTAGATAGGATGCAAGCTCTTCTGTTTATTTCCAAAGTGCGATGCTTTTCATTTGCAGACAGAAGCTCGTATTACTCCATTGGGCAGGACGCTGTCAGTGTTTCCATTAGCACCTGCTTACGCGAAAGTCATAGCTATGGCGAATCAGCATGACCTCATGCCATACGCGATTTTGCTCATTTCTGCGCTTTCTGGTGAGTATTCACTGGCCGATCTGGTCTTTGAGATTTTGTAATCCTTTTTGGAAGACATCCATCCTACCGAAAAGAGGTATTGATTTGAATTCCTGTTTCATGTTTGAGTCTCTTGGGCATTGCTTTCAAAATAGGTTTTAATTTTGCAATTGCCGTGTTAGGGTATCGAAAAGTATCGAAGGTAATATAAAAATTCTCTGATGAAAGCTGAGCTTGTTTTTGTTGATGGCAGCTTCAGTCACGAGTTACAAAGAATTCTTTTATATTTGCTCATTCTTTCAGTGCGTGAGCCGCTGGTGCCGGTTTCGTCGATAAGGGGACAAACTGATGAGGAAACAAAGGAGAAAATGACCGCAGTATTAAAGCTTCGAAGAGGATGGTGTGGAAAGGTAGGTTACTTTTTAGTGAAATCCACGTTTGCAGGATTAACGAAAATATTTAAAGGGCCCTGGGCGCCGGCTGGGTGATCTTCTTGTTCTGATGAGAGCAGTCATTTGTTACGAAGAAGAAAAGGTTGGTTGTTGTACATTTTAACATAGATGTCGAAAAAAAAGTAAAATATAAATAATCTATTTGGAAAGGAAAATGAGTTGAATTTGAAATTGATACAGTTTAGATATTTTCTTATTTCTGAATACGTGATTATTGTTTTGTAGATGAATCCATCAGCATGTACCAATCTGGGATTGAGGCACAAAGCAATGGTAGAAATTCGACGACTCCGCGTGCAATTAACTAATATTGTGAATACATCGTTCAAATCGAGTGCGGATATCGTGATGGATCCGCACCTTCCTCCACCATCTGATGCCCAAGCGCAAATGTTGAGGTATGTTAAATCCTTTGGTAGGGATGGCGGTTGTTATTCGCAGCGATTCAGGCAAATGATGGTGGCTGGCCTAGCGGATCGCATCGCTCGACGAGTGGATCGGTCAGCCGACAACGAAGAAGTACCAAAGGGTGCATATCAAACGATGAAACTTCAGGTAATGTTGTGCATAAGATTCCTTAAGAACATGTTTTTAAAAATAGTTGCTAGTTTTTCTGCACATCGTTCTAATATGAACTCTACAGCGCTACTCGCTCGAAAACAGTCATTAATTTTATTCTTGAGAACAAAGAATTGATTAATCTTTAGATCAATTGTTTTTCAGGAGTTCGTTTTCATCGATCCATGCAGCGTCATGTATACTGACGAACCAGATTATGTCATTTACCAGGAAATAGTGCAGTTAGGAGACAGAAAGTGTATGCAGGGCATTATGATGGTCGACCATGAGTGGCTACCGAGGCTTGCTGAGTCGTATTGCAATTTGCTCCGATGGATAAGGATACGGAGCCACGGTGAGCCAAAATTTTCGCTGCATATTCTTGTGAAGGTGCTTCAGGCCACATGTTGCTGATTTCAGATATGAAGCAGATAGAGACGAAATTGTGAAGAGTGTAGGAGTGACATTTGGTCCACTGGAGTGGCGCCTTGATCCTATTGAGCGACCCATACCTAATGACATTATGCTGTATAGGTATTTCGCTCAGTTCCTCCTAGCAGGACAGGTAAAGATTATTTTGGTTTCGCAAGGTCTTTTTGAAGCTTAGTCAGTGATGATGAGTACTTCGTTAAGGTAATGCCATTGCTAGCCCAGTTCGTTACAAAAATGTTAGCGCCACCCACAACAATGGTCCGATCGTGGGCGAAACTGCAAAAGCGTACAGAGGGTCTGCTTAATGCTTTGGTACTGAAAGAGGTGGGATTTTCTTCATGTCCTTCAGTCTTCCTTTTTTCCCTATTCGTTTTTCTCTGCTTGTCCTTATTCGCATTTGTTAAGGTTCACTCCAAGGCTGCTCTTGTTGAAGAGTTCAAGAAAAACGAGAACTACCTGCTTGAAGAGTATTTAGACTGGTTACCGGAATCATTACACGGTACAGTAACGGTGATGTGGCCACCACTAGAGGAGAAATCTTCTAAGATGGGTAGAAATAAAATTTACTGTAAACCAAAGTAAGAGACATTTGTACCTTTCATTGCTGTGTGCTTTGCTGACGCCATGTTCTGCGTAGCCTTGGTCTGGGCCAGCTGTTTTTTGAATAATCCATATTAAGTACGTTCGGTACGGAGGCACTTTAACCCACTCCTGTCGAGATGGTGGTGACCTCTTCAGTAAGCCCATAAGAATAGGGCAACAAGTGGTCGCAATGAAAATATTGGCCATCGTACTTGGTTGCCATCCTCATTTGATTGTAATTCGGCACCCGATCCTTTCTCTGTAGTGATCAGTCCATGAGTCCAAAAACTATATGGATGGCGGTTCCGCAGTTACTTGAGCTTGTAGGATCCCGTTGGTGTCTTTTTTCTGTAACTGTTCAGGTTGCAACCACTGCCATTGTTGTTCTAGAAAAGCTTCGATTTCTATTTTTACAGTTAAACATGTTGAAATTGTGTTGTTGAAATTATTGATATTGATTACCTTGTTATTATCATTGTTGTGTACAGCAGAAATATTGTTGAATTGTTCTGTTTGAGAGTCTTGAAAGTTTGTTTTATGGTGTTCAATTGAACAATTTCCTAGATATATGTAATAAAATTGCTCATTTTTTGTTAGTATATTGCCTAATGGATCTTTTATCCTTTTATTTTTACCTGGGAGTTTAAACTAAATTTCGGTTCTAAATCCGTTATTCAGGCTTTCGTTAGTTTTTCTATCAAGGCTCGGCTCCCAGGACTTCGTCGTTGGTAGCTTTCTTACGACAATGAAATTGGTGAGATATTCATCATTTTTCATTTTTTGTTGTTTTTCATGAATATATCCCCCGTCTCCATCTGTTGAAATCGTGGGTCGTGAAATTTTTGTTTGTATGGAGCAATGTTTTATGAATTCTAAAATAAAATCACTGAAATAGCCGGATAGAGGTGGCGACAATGACACATTTTGATATGCCGAGCTAAATAACTTTGAGAAGACGTCGTCTTGAATTTTGAGGGGTATCTGGAGTAGCCGTAAATATCTCTGTTGACCTTCAAAATAAGCGTGGAACACAAGAAGAAGTAAGATGCGCCATTTCTGCAGTGCGCTCACCTGTAGAGATGAGCTGTTCATGTTTGGCTGATGGTCCATTCTGTAGACTCTCGGGATATTGTGAAATGGTCGAAGCGTTTTGGGACGGTTGAAAATGGAGGCTTCTTCACAGATGTCTTCACCCACAAAATGGCTCTGCCCATCCGTCCATCTCTTGCCCAAAAATGGGATATAATGGAGAAGGGCTTTGCGTGCCAGAATGTGTGTGCAGACCAACAACTAGATAGACCAACTAAAAAATGGTTTGGACCCAATGTGGGTAATATCAGTGCTGCGTAACACATTTTGCTTGATCCTGCTTATCCTTTGACATGTACTGTGGTATAAAATTTTAGAAATCGGTGAATTTAGGCTGAATCGCTAGTTGTTCCCTCTTACTGCCCCTTTCTAGTCGATTCTTGTCGCCGGTGGCCTCCAAGCGTACCCTAGGAACAGAATTGATGCGGCGTTGCGAACCGCGCGCAATACGTTGGCATTCACTTATTCGAGAACGTATTCTTTCAGCTGCTCCATCAGCTACAGTTTTTGGTGTCCGTCATCGTAGCGATCTCGTACAATTACTGGATTCGATCAGGGTGCTAGCAGGCAACCATGTCTCCGGTACTGGAACTTTTCTTGTTTTTTATTATTTAGCTCAGAAGAATATTCTTGACCTTGGGTTTTTTCAGGCAGTTCGAATTGGATGAGTATAGGCTGATATTTGATTGGGATCCAGCAGTTTCGAAAGCGGCCTGGCGCCTTTACTATTCGACATTCGCGCTTTTTCGCGGCTTTTTCTTTCGAATCGCGTGTGCTGAAATTAAGAAGATGCGGTCATTCTCACTGTCTGGCTACGCAGCAAAGGGGAATATGCATCAATTCCAATGTTTTCTGAATTGAAACGGTTTCATTAAAGGCAATCAGATTCTCTGGTGAAAAGGAGTTCATCGAAATTGTTCGTGGACGTGGCATATGCTCTTCCAAACGGCTGGCTTGTTCCATCTCTTTCTTCGCTGAATATAATCAAGTCATGGTGGAAGTAAGTACTACTAACACAAGTATTCGTTAAAAAAATGCGTTACTTTCAAAGGCGTGAGGTTTTTAGTAGTGTTGACTACGCAGCTCGTCGAGGGACAGTTTTAAATCGAATCTCGTCCAGGCCTACCAAAACCTAAATCACTCCGAGCTTGGTTTCTTTCATATGCTTGGTCAATTTGAATTAAACGGATGTCGAACGATTTTTTTAATTAGTAGCTCTTCGTACCTCCTTACGACTACAGTAGAACTGGTGAGGAATTAAATTTTATAGTCTGTCTTCAAAATGGGTTCCATCACATGAAAGGGTAGTGCCTGTTAGAGGGAAATCTCTTAAGCCACAACTTTGAGAAATAGGAATTTATGGAGTTATCTTACAGGTGATCAAGAAACACTCGTTACTTGACCATCGCGTATCTTTTGAGCTGAGACAAATCTGTATGGAGCTAGGAAAGGTAATGCTTATCTAGATCATGATCTGGCTTTGTACATACTTCAATTTTTACTCGAATCTTTAGTGCGCCGGAGATCTTGAGAAGGATGCACGTCGATTGATGGATGAATTCTACGCCTCAGATGGTCCGATCAAATTCAGAACTGCTCACTTAATCGACGAGTGGTTCTGCGCATCTTTGGCATTATGTCAAGAAGGGTTCGCTCTGGTTGATGCCCTGTCACAGGCTGGTTTATCGAAAGAGATGAGCAAATGTGTGGAAGGGTGAGTCATAGAAAAAGTGGTCTTGGTCCAGTCTTTAATTATGATCTCAATTTGTGATGGTTCAGAATTCCTGCGTTTGTCGAACAAGTTGCCCAATTATTCCCTACAGAGGCTATTTTTGACGTGGCAATGATGCTTACCGATTACCCACTCAAGTGAGTTAGAGGGGAGTGCTTTTTTTTCTAAACCTTGTAAATGCATTGTGAGTAGAAACGAAAATATTACCTTTCCTGGTCATTTGCACATTTTGTGACAGCTTGGCTGCAGAATGTTGGAGCGAAAGTCGTGTCGGTGGTTTCATGCTGAGGTCAATCCGATTCTATATTGCAGGCGTCTCCTACGATTACGAGCCCAATTGTACCAGTCTGCGATCGACTTTTACCATATCGTATTAGTCAGGGAGGCTGAAGATGAGAAGATTACCATGCTGCAGTCAGCGTTGCACTCGGAAAGGTAGGGTAAAAATTGTAGACAGCAAATTTATATTGTGCTCTCCAGTTTGTAAGACCGACTGAGGATCTCCATGGAAAAATGCTCTAAAATGCCCAATTTCGGGAAATTCTCTACGTGGGTTAATGAGAGGGAAGTCCTATTTAATGAGATCAGCGATGACTTTTCGAAAGAACTGAGGATTGGCTTCAGCGGTGGTTTGGGGATGTATTGGGCTAACATGTAGGGAATTTTGAAGATTATCCGAGAATTTTCATCGAGCTGTAGGGGGCTTACGGTACTCCACGGAACTTTATTCCCTCCTTCCACACACTCCGCTTTTTTCTGGCTGTGGAGGTTCATTGGCCATTATAACGAGTGTAGGACTTCAATGGATACAGCAGAGGATGGTTGGGGGGGGGGGGGAGAGATGGGGTAGAGCAGTATTGGCTGCCGAATTTCCTGTACAGGTGGCTCACTCGCTTTCCCTGCTTCGCTTGTGTTGTGGGCGCCTTACCACGTATACTACTTGATTCGTTCGAGGATTTCGTTTTTGAGCCGATCCCATGATAGCAACCTACACCGCTCCCCTGCTGTAACTCACTCCAATATTTAGAACTTTTTCATCTTCCCATTGCACTTTTTGACATTTTTACAACACTCTCAGAACTCTTGAGCTCTCCGGTCATTTCCTCACCGCCTTACACACAGCAAATGGATCTTAGGCAGCGATTACGATAGTTCAAGAAGGGTTTAGAGAAGATGTGGTGGTGCTCAATGGTACGCCAGTGGCGAAAAAGCGGAGAAATCCGTCAAAAAACGCAAAATGGGACCCCCTTTTTTGGCCGTTGGTTTTCACTCATGAACAGGTAACAGCTCAGAAAGCGGACGTATGAACGAGTTCAGCGCAACGCGTTTGGTGACACCATGCCAAACCACGCTCCAATCGAGTTGCTCCAGTTGTGCCGCTGCTGGCAACGCAGCTCGTCCACCAACTAAACTAGTGGGCGGATCGCTTTTGGGGGCGGAGTGCTTTCGAAGTCCTGCTCAGCAACCAGCGAACCTTCCGTCGTGAAAGCGCTACACCTTCCCTGGCAGCCAAGTAACTGATTCGTGTGGTGCATATGCTTCCCCGATGCACTCCCACTTAACCCTTTCGGCCCTGGCGGTGGCAATTGCCACCACCAAATTCAAACGCTTGCATTGCCGCTGAAACAGCATGGTTTTTCTAATCCTGCTAGAGGTTGCTTCAGTCAACCTTCCCCTTCCTAATTATGAGCTAACCTGCCATTTCATTGTGTGTTGCTGTTAGTATTACAAGTATTTGTGTACAAGTGCAACAATGAATGGGCGCTGACCCCCGCAACCGGCCAAGTAAGTGTGACTTTTTCTTAAAATACTTGAAGTAGATCCATTCCTAAATCAAAATTATGGGTTATAATGTTATGCAAGATTATAAACTTTTTCGGCATAACTATGAAATTTCGAATTGTTTCGACATAAGCTTAAAAACTAAGAAGGTGGGCCAATTTTCAAAGCTTCTTAGTTTCTTTGTTTTGTGATCGAATAGCTTCCAAATTTTGCCATAATGATACCTATATGCTCACAAGTAATAAACAATAGCTAGAAGAAAAATTTCTCCACGGGGAAAAATTCAGGTCCGAAAGGGTTAATCGTAATCGCTGCTTTTGAGGTTTGCTTCACGAATCGACGGAAATGTTAAGGTCCACTCGAACTTGCCCCTAGTTTGAAAAAGATGATTTTTAAGGTTTATATTCCTCCTAAACGAGAAGGAAAACCTTTCGGAGCTTCTCAAGGGTTGCCAGAAAGAATTTCGTGATCATATGGAGAGAGCTCTTGAGAGTGCATGTGAGTCGCAGAGAGGAATCATCGTCGAAGAGCTCGCGAGGAGTGGATTGTTGAAGGTCAGTTCCCTTCATAAATGCATCCGTTGAGCATACTTCCGCTTCGTTAATATGAAAGAGAAATGTAAAATTTTATTATCTCGGGCCTATGTCTAATCAACAATCTCATGAACGAAAAATGCTGTTAGCGGGGGAGGGGGGAGGGCAACTCTTTGCTATCTATAATCTGTAGTAACTAGAGGGCATTCCTCTGGCTATCCAACACTATACGACAATAAATTGAAGGGCTCATTTTGAGCGCGCATAAGGACCGACGGATGTCCTACATTCCACACATCCTGCTACCATCCTGTCCACTTTTCCGCGCAGGTCATGCCGCTCTTTTGAGTCTAGCCCACCCTTCAGCTTAGGCGGAGATGTCTATTCTCCTGGTCCAGAACCGTTTTCTTGGACCGTGGCGGGCGAAATTTGAAGGCATCTCATGATCAGTGTTTATCTCACATTGCACCGATACTTATCAAAAGTATACCTTGAATGAATCGATTACGTTTCAATGAGCGCTCTCATCCTTATCTTAAGTATCGGAAAAACAATGGAGTGCCCCCCCCCTCGTCCCCTCTCCGCCTCGCGAGTTGATTTCACGGCTCAACACAGTCAATCAGGCATTTACTTGTACATTATAACAAGAGTCTGAAATTATTAAAAATTAGTTATGTTTCTGTTTTTCCTCCACTTCGTGTGCAAATTCATTCAAGGGTCTCTACTATTGGCTCAAAAAGTCTGCTACAGAAATGCGACCTATCATTGACGCTCTTCTTACATCGTGCTTATTGTTTCCTTTATCGGACCTCGCATTGGTTCCCCCTCAACTTTGGTATTTTACGGTTGGGGAGGGGCAAAAAAGGACATTTTAACTTACATTTCGACTGATCTGATGGCACTTCACTAGCTTCAACCGAATGCCCACTTGAGAAATAAGAGCCTATTTTATTCTGTGAAAAGAGTTTTAGTGGCTTTATACTTTTTCGACATCAGAAAAAATCTGCCACGGAAACACGGTGCATGGGCCGAGTTCACCGGGGTTCTCAACTGGTCGTGCGCCATTCCGGCGTTTCACGAAAAACCTGGTTGGGAGGCGCATACTTGATTTTCTTTTTCATCCTACAGCACAGCGCCGCCGAAGGTCACGGGTTCGCTTGGAACTGATAGGTAGTTGCTCCACTCCTATTTTTTACTATTGCCATGCATGCTCTACCGTAGTATTGACGCGTAGTTACCATCGGGTAAACGACCGCAAGTGACGAAAATAGAGCATGAGATCGCAGAGCAAGTAGGCAACTTCCCCAGCTTCCAATAGTCGTGTACTGTTTGTTGCAGCCAGTGTGGGCTTTGCATTGTGTTGCATCAACAAGACCAAATATGAAATCAGTTTATTTTGTTCTGTATCGGGTTGAAAAGAGCTTTTTCAGGAGTAAAACACAGTTGGGCGATCTGAAAAGATTATTACTCGAATTATAATTTTCACTTTTCCCATAAATATTTTCCCATTCACTTTCAGTCAAGTCACTCATTTTTATTTTTATTTAATTTCTTTATCTATTTATTTACTTTTTCCATTTTTTATTTAACTATTTTTCTTCTTTCAAGTGTTCCTCGACAGAGGTTTGCCTTGCCTTGGAGGGAATATGAAGGGTCGCGTTTGGAATTTTCTGGAGTAGGCCTTAGATTTTATAACCGGAGACAGTGGTAGGTCAGCGGTTGTAAAAGGAAATAGCATAAAATATTCGCTGTTGATAAGCATGCATGCGCTCTCTACCCTACTGACCTCATCTTTCACCCCTCCCTCTCATGGAAGAGTATAAGTGTATAGAATTGATAGTCTTTTTCTCGGAGGGAGTAGGTTAGTTGGAAAATTCTTCAAGTAAAAAATTCAGCAGAACATGTTGACAGAAGACCATCCGAAGGTTGGGGAAGGAGATGGTAATCTGGGGGAAGAGGGAGGTCTCGCGCTGAGGAGGAGAAGTGGTCATATACGCTTGAAATTTCTTCACCCGTGTTTCCGGTGGGTACGTTTTTTTTCTCAATTTCATTGGGTTTGTTCCACACTGATGCCAGAGCGTTTAAACGGGCTGATTGAATTACTATGATCCGCTCTAAATTTTGTGTTGAGTCTTACAAAGTAGAATAGAGATGAGTTGTTTCGCCAGGAAATTATGCATTCCAGGCGCAAAGGATAGTGATTTCATCGGCAGGCACCCTTTCTAAATTGCAAAAATTTATTTCTCAGATAAAAAGCAAATCGGTCAATTTCAATTTTGCGACGTGTGGGTCAGGAAATCCGAAACGCGGCAATGCGTTTAGACAAGTTCACCGCGTGCGCGGCGGCGCGTCGACTATTTTCGTCATGATATATGCAGTCTTTGCATATGCCAAGCCACTTGCGACACCGCTGCGCCGCTCTGATCAAGATATTCTTGACCGGAGACGCTTTCTTAATTTTCACTCCCAATACTTTTCTGAAAATTTTTTTTATAGATGATCGAACCAAGGCCATTGAATTATTATGCTTGCATTGAATTGCTGTCGATATGGAAATTGATTTGGTGGGTATTCCAGGGGCTCGGCAACCTCAACAGGCTGAACAGCTCGGCTAAGCAAGCAGTTGAAGATGTTTCGCAGATTTTTCCTCACTTTTCAACGCAGTACATCCATGTGAGTTTCTCATCTTGAAAATGTGAACATTTCTTAAAGGAGGAATTCACGATTAGAATGAAGGTCGAAGAAAGGGAAACTGACCTAGTTGAGGGACCCACGGACCTCCTGAGGGTGCGAACTGACGCGCAATTCGCATGGAAAAATTTGACCTCGGCGACCTATCATGCCTCAAAGCTGGCGGGTCCGGCGATCTCCGCCCACCGATCATCTGATCACTCGCCGTTCAATACGTGGCGAGTGATTAGATAGCTGAGAGAGCGTAGTGTTGAAGAGGGCACAGCGATGAGAGTCGCATCAATGCTCAAATCAACGGGCAAGGAAGGGGTCCCATTTCTCGGGTTCTGGGCCGTTTCTCATGGTTCTTCCTTTTTCGTGTACCACTCACCATCCCTAGGTTAATTTGAAATGGGTTGCTTTTTCATCGTGAATTCGTCCTTTAAATTCACACCCATTCGATCTTTTTTGGTTCCCGTTGTAAAAGTCTTACGAACAAATCTTGAAATTGGTGAATTGCTTTCATTAGAAGGTTCATGCATATCGCCTAATCGATATTATCACCAGGTTATCAGAGGGGACTGGGGGAGGGGGGGCGCTTGTTGGCCGTATTTATCTGCATAACTGTAATGATGCCTCACCCGACGACACCACCGCCCCATGGTCATTACCATATCTTTGTATTTAAGCTTTGGTTGTTGTACGAGTAACTACAAAAACTTGCCTTGCTCATACTATAATAGGTGGAAAAAGATGGTTAAATGCCTTCTCTGCGACTTTTCTTATCAGAAGTCGTTCTCGCAGATCACGTTCTCCACCAGATCTACGCTGAAAATCAATTGAAAGCATATTTACGATATCGAGTTCTAGGTCAACTTAAGTGATCCTCAAGTAAACCTTTCATATTTCTAGAAAGTAGGCGAAAAATTGAAAGAGGGCGGCGCAGTGGCTAAAGGTGCAGGTTCATCACTTACTCGCTTCTTGGAACGAACCTCGCACATGTCGAACAGGTTTACATTTTCCAGGACTTATCATTTGAGGGTAGGAGAAACGCTTAGTTCAATGTGGAGCAGTATCCGCATGCCAAATTTCTACCAAAAGTTTGTATGACTTCGAGTGAAAGTCGAGTACGTGGCACATCCCAGGGGTATTGACTATTGTCAGTGGCAATTTTAGTTGTGCTACAGAACATTTGCACCCATAATATGTTTGCTGTTTACAGCAAGCTTTGGGTGGAGGTAATTTATCGGAAAACAGTACCGCTATCGCACTATTCTGAGAATTGAAGAGGGAATCTGGGATCGAATCGCATCAGTAAGTCGACCACTTTCTTTCTTCTGGTAAGTTGGATGGTTTAAGACCCGGCAAGGGTTGTATAGTTGTATAGCGGTTGGTTCTCATTGGTCATTGTATTCGCCGAATACGCATTCATCTGCTTGACTATTCTGACTGGAACTCAAAGTCGTTGCGCAAATCTCAAGAGGGCTTAGATTTACTGGTTTAGTTTTGGCAGTTGAGTAATTCAAAGATGAGTCAGATAAGACTACCTTTCCACGGAACAATTTTCCTGACAAACTTATCAGCATCCAAAGGGTCGCGTCGTCATTTGCGTCTATGTCGCAATATCTTGTTGATTGAGCCGAGGGTACGCCTAGAATTTGATAGAGGTTTAATTTATTTCTGTCTACTGTCATCACTGAGGCAGCGTTTAGAGATGGCGATCGTACATGCGATTAGGCAAATAGGCGACCAGGCGACGAGGCCGATGGTAGGTAAACGATCAGTGTTGAGGCGATCAAATCGATTTGCATCCTTCCCTTATCGTCAACTCGCTTACGCCTAATCGCCTACTCGCTTAATCGTTGCTCGCCTAACCGCCTAATCGATCTTTTATACTTCACAAATTATCGCCCAGTCACCTAGTCCTCTAATCGCGTGTATAATCGCCAACTCTGAACGCTGCCTATAAAGGATTTACGAAAAGGTTGTGGATGAAGACACACCTGGGTCATAATAGCTTGATCTGTTTTCTTGATCATCCAATAGACTGTTTGTGAGAATCAGCTGCGCTTTCTTCAATTGTCTCCTTCGCATCCTCCGTCGCATAATTTCGCTTTGTCGAGCATTATCAGTAAGGGAGATTGTGGGCTGGTAAATGTCGTCGACTGTGTAGATGGGCGGATAATTTATTGCTTCACTGGTTGCATTCGAAATTACGTCAAAGTAGCGGAAAGGTTCGGCGAAGTTTTCCGTTTGATGTTGACTTCGCATAGGTGGGATGAGAAGGTCCTCTAGAAGTTGCATTTTTTTTAAAGAGAAATTTTTCCTGTATGTCTCTTGCGTTCCTTCTTCCACTTCATTTTCTACCTACGGTGGGCGCTCGTGTCCTTGGGAGGACATCAAATGGAGGACCGATGGTAGGTGAGACTAGGACTAAGCCCAGCAAAGGGGAGAAACGCCAGGGAGAACACAAATTGCTCACATGCTCCCCAGGATCCCTTCCCTCTCCTAGGGCTCAGCCCCAAGCACAGTAATGGCTCACTCACTATTGTTAGATGTCCTTTCCAGGGTCATGAACGCCCAGGGGTGGCCTTGGGTTACCTGGTTTGTGTGGATTGTCTTAGGTGCGTTAGAGGCGAAGGTGTTATGACTGGGAAGCGAAGCGGTTTAATGGCGTCATAGGGAGTCACTGGTGGAAATTCTCGATGCTCATTCACCAGTGACGCCCATTCACGTCATCAAAACCGCTCCGCCTTCCAATTATGGCACTCGCTGACTTCAAGGCAGAACCCTCTCTTTTGGACAGCCAGAGAATCTGCAGTAAAATGGTAGGACCCTACTTGATCAATAGATGCAAAGAACGAAAGGTAGACGCAAATTCGACTCTTTTTGACTTTGTCTCACCAGATATTCTGAGAATCAAGAGAAAATTGTTTTTCAGATCTTGACCGTTTCGCGCCATCAAATTAGGGGCATATTCCTTGAATGAATAGGTGAAGGTCAGGCTTGCGTCCACATATGAGAGCAGTTTAGGTGATTGGTTCACTTGTTATGGGAAATGTAAGTAATAGGTCACATCCAGTAAGGGGGGGGGGTTATGTGGCACGACAGTTCATATTTCATGAAGATATACAGTTTTCAGGGGAGTGAAACT